GTGACTAAAAGAGGATCTGCACAGTGGAGTGGGACAAAATCCCTTCTGAAATGTGTGCAAACCTGGTGGCCAACTATAAGAATCATCTGACTTGTATGATTGCCAACAAGGGTTTTGCCACCAAGTACTAAGTCGAAGAGGTCAAATACTTATTTCACTCATTGACATGCAAATCAATTGCTAACTTTTTTGACATGCATTTTTCTGGATTTTTTTTTTTATTCTGTCTCTCTGCTAAAATACAACTACCATTAAAATTATAGACTGATCATTTCTTGTCAGTGGGCAAATGTAAAAAATCAGCAGGGGATCAAATACTTTTTTTCCTCACTGTATATAATTAATATATATAAGAAATATAGATTTGTTTTATTGCTTTCCCTATTTTTCCTCTATTGGTCAGTTCTCCTTGATCTGCACAGGCCTTGCCCTCGCCAAACAGTCATACTTTTCCTCTCTCATTAGTTCATGCTCCCGCAATCCCAGGCATCTATTTGACACCTTTCTCTCTTTTTTGTGCTGCTGTGACCACCACCCAAACTAACCTTACAGCCGATAGCTTTGCATGCTACTTTACCGACAAGATTGAACAGCTAAGGAAAGAATTCTCCCCACCTTCCCGATCTCTTTCTCAACCACACGTAGATCATGCATTTCCTACCCTTCAGACTTTCACCCCGACTACTGAACAAGAGGTGGCTGCACTTCTCCTTTCCTCTCGCCCCACCACTTGCCACTCGATCCTGTCCCATCTCGCCTTATCAGATCTCTCTCTGTCTTGTGCCTTCCTTAACACACATCTTCAACTGCTCTCTCTCTTCTGGTGTTGTCCCTGCTGACCTTAAGCATGCCACTGTAGTGCCTATCCTGAATAAAAAAAAACAAAAAACTCTTGACTCGTCCTCCCCCTCTAACTATCGTCCCATATTACTGCTCCCTTTTACCTCAAAGCTTCTGGAAAGACTTGTCTTTACCTGTATGTCTCACTTCCTCAATTCCAACTCTCTCCTTGACCCTCTTCAATCTGGCTTCTGCCCTCTCCACTCTACTGAGACTGCTCTTATCAAAGTTACTAACGAAATCCAAAGGCCACTACTCCATACTAATTCTTCTCCTTCTTCAAACTCTTCAATCACTCGGTCTCTGTGACTCTGTCCTCTTGTGGTTTTCCTCTTATCTCTCCCAATGCTCATTCAGTGTCTCCTTTTCTAATGACACCTCCTCCCTTTGTCCTTTCTTGGTTGGATTCCCCCAAGGCTCTGTCCTTGGTCTCCTTCTATTTTCTCTTATACTGCCTCTGTTGGCAAACATATTTCCTCATTTGGATTCCACAAGCACCTGTATGCTAATGACACCCAGATATATCTCTCCTCCCCGGACCACTCCCCTGCCATCCTGCAACGTGTCACTACTTGATTTTCTTCCATCTCTCACTGGATGTCCTCCCGCTTTCTGAAACTCAATCTCTCTAAAACTGAGCTCCTTGTCTTTCCTCCTCCTTATACTGAGCCTCCTCTCTTTTGCTCTCTCTTCAAGTTAGTGGTATCCACATAAGTCCATCCTTGCAAGCACGCTGTCTTGGCACCATACTTGATTCTGGACTCACCTTTGAGCCTCACATGCAGTATGTTGCCAAATCCTGTAGATTCCATCTTAAAAACATAGCCCGCATCTGCCCCTTTCTTACGCAAGATGCTACCAAGGAGCTTGTCCATGCTTTAGTAATATCCTGCATGGATTATTGTAACCCTCTCCTAATTAGTCTTCCCAAAGCCGTATTGCCCTGCTACAGTCTGTAATGAATGCTGCAGCCAGACTGATTTTCCTCTCTAGTCAGTCCTCTCACACCTCACCCCTCTTTCAGCCCTTACATTGGCTTCCTGCATCCTATAGGAGTCAATTCAAAGTGCTTACCCATACCTATAAAGCACTGAACAATTCTAGCCCCTCTTATATCTCTTCACAGATCTATAGGTATGCCCCTTCTTAGTCTCTCCACTCTTTTTTTGCACTGACTGAACATACAAAGAACAACAAAGTGTTATTAGGTGCCAGATATGTTGCTGAGAAGGCCTTGGTGGCTGAAACGCTGATGTGGAGTTCTTTAATCTCATATTCTCTACAGGTGGGGGAGTCGGGGGTAGCAGGTCAGTAGTGTTTTGTTTTGGTTTATTTGGCAAAGCAGCTGTCTGATATAAAAATATCACTAGTATAGTGCTCCTCCGGGAGGCAGGGATAGGTTTTTTCTTTAACATCTTGACTTTCACAGCTAGCAAGGTTTTCTTAAAGAGGCAGTGAAATGATTCTTAGTATGGAGCTTTAGAGCACTCCTGGTAGGTTCTACACTATGTATACAGTAAGCAAAGATGAGTTTCAGTCACATGACCATCATCTAATAAAACTACATAATAAAACTAAATTCTGAATATTGTTCTGTGGACCTGTATTTCCAAGAACCATAAAAAAATAGAATGAGTTCCATAATTATCTGTCCATTGGGAGTGTGTGCTAGAGCGCTCAGAGACAGCCCATTTCCTTATAGTGTATACCCCCAATGGATGGGCAGAAAGATATTATAATTTCCCCTGACCAAGCCATTTATCCATATATTAAGTGAGATGATAGTCTACATGTTTAGGTGTAAGAGCGACTTCCATCCAGACCAGCCCATCTACAGTATTGATGTATTACCTGTCAGAACAGTGCCACTAGTCACTGGCTACTAGCTACCAGTATTAATAATGTAAAAAAAAATATTTAGTAAATGTTTATTTTTGACAAATTGAACTTCAGTTTAAAGCTTAGTACAAAATAGCTGAATTAGAAAAAAAAAAATCTATATTATGAACTTGACAAATATAAATATAACATAGAAACATAGAAACATAGAAACATAGAATGTGACGGCAGATAAAATCCATTTGGCCCATCTAGTCTGCCCAATTTTCTAAATACTTTCATTAGTCCCTGGCCTTATATTATAGTTAGGATAGCCTTATGTCTATCCCACGCATGCTTAAACTCCTTTACTGTGTTAACCTCTACCACTTCAACTGGAAGGCTATTCCATGCATCCACTACCCACTCAGTAAAATAATACTTCCTGATATTATTTTTAAACCTTTGTCCCTCTAATTTAAGACTATGTCCTCTTGTTGTGGTAGTTTTTCTTCTTTTAAATATAGTTTCCTTCTTTACTGTGTTGATTCCCTTTATGTATTTAAATGTTTCTATCATATCCCCTGTCTTGTCTTTCCTCCAAGTTATACATGTTAAGATCCTTTAACCTTTCCTGGTAAGTTTTATCCTGCAATCCATGAACCAGTTTAGTAGCCCTTCTCTGAACTCTCTCTAAAGTATCAATATCCTTCTAAAGAGATATGGTATCCAATACTGCGTACAATACTCCAAGTGAGGTCTCACCAGTGTTCTGTACAATGGCATGAGCACTTCCCTCTTTCTACTGCTAATACCTATCCCTATACAACCAAGCATTCTGCTAGCATTTCCTGCTCTATTACATTGCCTGCCTACCTTTAAGTCATCAGAAATAATCATCCATTAGATTTTCCAGTTCACCGTAATTCAATTTTTTCTTTGTTGATAAACCCTATTGCCATTATGAATCATTATATTTATTTACACAATTAACCTAAAAACATGAAATAGTGAACATAATATTAGTTTGTATCCTTCCTACAGAATGGTTTATCGTTCTCTATGAACCATCACTCATTCTTCTGACAAGGTCAAGGTTCTCACTCAGGGGTATATTTCACTCTAACAAAAAATAATTTGGGGATTACTCTACCTGACAAGTCACATATCATGAATAATAAATGACAATCGGAAAACATTTCTCTGGATGTTACAGTACAGTTTAAACTTCAGTACAGCAGAACAGTAGTTTGTAAACATTGGTTATTCTACTGCTAAAATGTATTTTACCTTTTCAAAGGTCCTCTTTTTAAGAAAACAATGTGACCCAAAATGTGAATTCTTTCCAGAGGAATATCCTGGCATTCATCAATATAGGTGACACAATTACACAGGGGGAGTATTCCATTCATCAGACCTCAAGCAGCAGAAATATATATTGTATAAGATATCAATGTTTAGTATAGAAAAGGCAAAATAATGCAATTTAAGTGTATATATTGCATGCAATATTTAATTTTATATATATTTATTTTGTGTATTATTCATCTTTAGGTCCTCTACCAGGCCTGGGAGTCCGAGTGTCTTTTCCTATGCTGCCAGGATTAGTGCCTTATTGCTGTCTTTCAGTCCTGCCTTTTCCATCCACTGGTAGGAATTTGTGATGTGAGCCACATCCACTATCTGCTCATGGTAAACCCCATGGAGAGTTTTGTCTTGACATAGAGCCTTGTCCTTTTCTGCATCCTCTATATGTTGCTGACTCAGGCATTCCCTTGGGAGCCATCTTTGTAATGTACTTGCGGATGCTCTTTGTTTCAGCAGAAATTGACACTAATCATGCCCTTACCTTTTTCCTTCCAGCTGGTGTACATTTTTGGTGTTGAATTTCAAGTGTAAATATTGAGCATTTTCCAGGTTTTGACATCCATGGTGATGACCTTTTCTCTTATCCACATTATTATTCCACCTGAGCACTTGAATACTGGTAGGACTGTTGAGGTACATGTATGTTGCTATCCTCCTTGCCTCTTCCTCATGGTTGCCATGTGTTTGAGGTAGCAGTTCTCTACATCTCCTGTTTGGTCTACCACCAGTTGGTGTTTTCAGGGGCAGACAGTCCTGGGCCCCCGGGCAAAATTAGGACCTGGGCCCCTGCAGACTCATTTTTCTATCCCTATATATATATATGTAAGGCTGGGCCTGTAGTTGTAGGAGGGGCTTTGTTTCCCTTCTTAAGGGACGTCAGACCGCTCCCCATTATCATTTTCAGTCTGGTGATTTGCATACCGTGACTTCCGGTCGGTGCAAATAACCATTTTACTTACCTTCTACACAGGGGAATGCTTACTTGGTCCTCCTCTACTTTTAGCTGTATTCTTGAAGGGAGCCGTGTTCTTGGAGATTCTCTTCTAGGTCAAGGCAGTAAGGAAGCCGACCTCGGAAGAAGTTCTCGCGTTTTCACGAACGGTTTGGTTCTCGCAAATGAATCAAACAAGCTGACCGCTGTAAGTATCGTTGTTTGTCCCGCGAACGGACCCCCAGAGCCCGCCAACGGAAAACTGACAATCGTGAGTAACCTCGCCTTTCGTGCACTTCGTTCGTTAAATAATATTTTCATATGCATGTATCGTTTGTTACATTATCTAAACCCAACGAAATACATGACCTAATTCTCACGAACTAAAGCACGAACTTAAACGATAGCCGATCAAACACACAAACCACAATGAGACTTTGCAAACTCAAATACGATTAAATATACAAATGCCAGAGTTCAAACTATCCTTCTCGATTCATTCAAAGTCAGCTAAACCACACGAACACTCAATTCTCATGTCTGTCAATGGATTTAACAAACGATTAAAGTAGATGCTCGCTAAATAGAATTTAAATTGATATGATTTTTGAATGGTTTATGGCTATTATGGTGATATGGAATTATAGTTTTTTTTAAGTATGTATAAACTCCTGCTTTATTACACGTACATGGGTAACGGTCTTATGGTTTGACAGCATGTCTGATATTTTAGGTGATAATTAATTCAGGTCAAACAAGCACCTGCCTGTTTTTCTTTCTAGGTGACTCAATTGTGTTATTCGGGCACTTGCCAGTTCTCTTTGTTCGATCTATAGGTGAGATTATCTACCTTCTAATTTAAGTTACATGAAGGCATTGGTCTTTCAGTCATAACTCTAAATCTGCCCTCCAGAATAATTAGGTGGGTTATACGTGTTTATATAAGATTCATATCAGAGCGATCGGAGGCTGCATTGCATGTAGTATATTTGTTTCAGATCCTCAGAGTATTTCAGCATTGGAGCTCCATCACTGCTACTATTCACAATCACAAACTTGACAAAGACCGTGTAGGTCGAAACGTTGTGCGTGGCAGTGGGTTCAATACTTTTGCCTTTTTGTATCTTGGAGTGCCTGGACGGTTTTCTATTTTTCCTTATCAAGTGTTTGGTCCCTGCTACTGGGACTTTCCTGGTTGCACCCGGACACATTCTACTTGGGATTGAATGCAGTTCCACACCCTTGTTTTGGTCATACATCATTTAATTTCTAGTCCATAATGTTTATTTTCTACAATTTAACAGCATGTTAAAAATTCTTTGTTTCGATTAATACTAAGCATCATATGATTGCCTATTGTGGTCAGTACTGATATTGCACAAGTCCATATTTTAAGTTAGTCTAATGTTTGGTGTGAGATAGTTTCATTTAGGTAAAGCATACGCTTTGATTGTTAATCGTCTTTCATGCTTTGTCAGTAGATACTGATGATACGCTTTTCCGCCTAAATAAACACTATTTGGTTTCTCCCAACTTAGCCCTACGCTCACCTGGTGCATTCCTATACTCATGTCACCAAGGCTTGATGCCTTAACCTATATTCAACATCGACACCGTATAACCTGCACCTACGTTTCAGCTATTCCATTTCTAATGTAGGAATGTGTTTCTTGTATCTGTTTCCATATTCAAGGGAGACCAGGTCTTTGGCACTTAACCGGAAATTAGAGGTTATCACTAGTGCTGTTTAAGTTACCTGTATATTGCCTTGCTGTATATTTACAATTATTTCATTTCACCTGTTATGGTGGCTTCTTCATGTCTTGCCTACATTCTACTCAAGTGTATAGTATACTCGCTTGACTATGTTAACACATTTTATGTCCCTTAACAGCACTACCGTTTTATTTTAAGTCGGGTTCTACCCTTGAGGAGGTCCCAAGCAAGGCCACGTACATACTCCCGACATATTCCATTATATCTTTAGGTCTATTAATTAGGACTGCTGCCTTCACTTGTATCTGGTTCTTCTTCCTTAGGGATCACTGGTTAGAGTATATTCGTATCAAAGGCATTACTATTAATATGTTTATTACAGGTTACAGAGTTTTTTTAGGGCAACAGTACTCATCATACCCCTTATATTCATTAGATAGGTATTTTATAGATTATTCGATTGGATCCACGAGCTGGCCTTACATCTCGTTCATGTACGTAACATCATCATATCATTAGGTGCTAGGTACCTACGATTTACTACACAACCTCTACTTTTACAAAACAAACCACAATTCCTATTATATCTCGTTACCCCTGTAGGACTGCGCCAATCCACCTTCTGTGTCATACCGCATTTCTGAGTACTTGTTTTCAGATACGTAAAATTACACATACTCATTTGATACCTTACCCTGCCTCTCTTAGTAAATTTCATTACTGGCTGGCAGGGCACCAGGTGCCTGATAGCTTATACTTTCTCAGGCTTCCAAGCCTTACGTTAGTGGTCCCACGAGGCCAACAACCATCCTCATACTCAAAGGTTTTACACCCATAGGCCCAACTCATAGTTAGTTGCCTTGCATGGTGGCATAGAGAGGGCCTCACCTGTCACGCCCATTCTATCTTATGCTTTAAAAGTCACTGAGAGGCCGACACCCCACTACAAGTTTCGGTAGCCACATAATCCACTCACACCAACACATAGAGCCTCTGAAGCCGCTTGGCATCTAGTAGGGCCTCACCCATCACCAACTTGTTTAATAGTTTCGACACTTGGCAATAACTAGTATGCCAGTATGTCGGAAGGGTACATACAACTACTTCATGCTGTTTAACACATCTTTGCGACCAGAAGATGGAGGGTCCTGTCCCTGCCCTGCACTCCTAATAGGTCTGATACATCCCACAGTGACATGGCTAGTCCTACTTCTATTAGATCTTGGACTATACCTCGAATCACAGCAGGACTTTTGAATGGCACATAAGGTACCAGCACAGCTAAATAAACCAATTATCAAACCACATACATACATATTTTACACATATATAGGTACCACTAACCAGGCTTTTAGCACGGAAGGCTTAGTATTAGAACTGCGTCTAGTATTGGAATCCTACCCTGTTGTATAATTATATCGAGCAGATTTAATTAAATATGTGGAGCCTGTAGAATTAAATGTGTGTAAGTTACATGGCTGGTACTATTAGGTATTGGTAAGTTCCTTCTGTCCAATTATACTGGATTAGAACATCACGTAATGAACGATATTAGGTACACACAGTGATTTGATTATCAGTAACAGGAATAGGTCCATATTTGCAAATACCTGCCGGGTAGAGGAAGTTCGCTGCTTAGATACAGTAGACATATGTATTTTGGTTGCCCTATGTAATTGAATTGCAAATATTCAACATTACATTTCATTCACGTTGATATCAATTCAAGACCTTACTCCGTTCTACTTCACGTCTTGTACATACATTCAAAATCTAACTTTTACAAAGGGCTGTCTCCTCACGTTGACCCTCGCGGAGTCCTCCATACGCATTCGCGCATACGTTACATAATTCAATATTCAGTACATGTTTCTGTACGTTCAAGATATCCAACGAGATATTGACTATCTGTCTACATCACGAAAAAAAATTAGGATTCAGATTACATGCATTCCACGCAGATAAATAGGATATATCTTATTATGATAATATTTAGGTTGAACCACTTCCCTCCTCGTAGATAGAAACGGCTGTTCATTCAGGGTGACTTTCACTACTTGTACAATTCAGCTAATCTAAACATAGCATCACAGCATGCTTCCTTTAGCTTACGCTATTAAGCCCCTTACAAAGCCATATAATTTTCTATACTGTCATTTATCTTAGCGCCCCTCAACAGCAGGTGCCGCTACTGACCAAATCAGTTTTATGCCGGGCTCACATAACCACGAAATATATCATATGTATCTTAATATGTAAATATATATGTAGGTAGATAAAGGTTAGGGGTGTGTGTGTACGCAAATATATGTATATATATATATATATATATGTGCTTGCGTGTATTCACTCATGCTCTGGCGGCTCAATATTTCAAACTATTGCACTCACTGTTATGTTGGTATATGCAATTTCGTTATCCTCGGTTCCTATGCCATAACTCTTGGGTTGTTTAATTATGTTTGGCTCACCTATGGCATTTCTCACATATCTGCATGTGCCTCGAGCAGATCTTCTCAAATGCACTTCATGAACATACTGACTTGGTCAGCTGCTAATTACTACTTTATCTGCATATGACTATATCCCTCACTTTCTTGTTCTCCATTACTTTCCGCTAAGGGTCTACAGTTTAATCCGGTTATGGATAGATTTAAGCCTCTTAAGGTCGATGGTCGATTTCACTTCTTTTGCCACCTTTTACGTAAATATTTTAACACTACTAAATTACATTTTACATTTCTGTCAGTAATAATGCTGGATAACGACCAAACCTCTGTTCGAGGCTCCCCTGATCTGCTCCTACTAGCCTTACACAACAATACTCAAACGCCAAGTAATTTCAGACTATCTCAGCATTTTACTGCATGGTCAGATAAGGTCTTAATTCAGCAGGTCACTCCTTCCATACCAGTGCTGACAAACATCCCTTTAGGAACATTCGGTACATATTAATGGGACATTGAGACTTCGGAGGTCTCAGCTTACTCCAGATATATACACTAACCTGTTCTTAAATACACCAAGTCTTCCATATTATGTATATGTAATATATTGTAATATGCTTGATTTGTAGGCTTTATAATTCTGTATAGTATACTCTTTTTCCCCTCTTTTATTACAGGCCCACCGCATCATCGGTTTCCGGCACACCACAACTGACTTTTTCATATTACTATAGGTCTCATATAGGGACCTTACATATCTACTTCTAATATGCTCTCATTACAGCTTTTGCCCTGACCACAAATGTAAGGATGGACCTGTAGTTGTGGGAGGGGCTTGGTACCCCTTCTTAAGGGACACCAGACTGCTCCCTATTATCATTTTCAGTCTGATGATTTGCCCCTCCCACCACTCCCTTTTTCTCATATCTTTATGTATCTTTATGTGTGTGGCACAGGACGCCACAGCAGTAGGGGCACCGGGCAGCTGACACAACTCACACATGCAGGGGCTAGGAGTAGGAGACCTGCACAGAGAGTTGGGGCGGAGCCAGATTGACATGGGGCACAGCCAAGTCAGATGCGTGGGCAGAGCTAACGCAGCTTCTTACTGCTCCACACAGAGGGGAAGCAGTAAGGAGTCCCTGCTTCCCAAACACAACACACCAGGGACTCCACTCCTACTTCAGCTCAAGCTGACTGTAAGTGAGAGAGTGTGTGTGCTGTGTGTAATTGTGATTGTGTCTGTCTGTGTGACTGTCTTTGACAGTGTGTGTGTGTGGCTGTCTGTGACTGTGTGTAACTGTGTAGGTGACTGCGATTATTTTTATGATATTTATAGAGCGCCGTCAAATTCCGCAGCGCTTTACAATGGGTGGACGAACAGACATGTAGTTGTAACCAGACAAGTTGAACACACAGGAACAGAGGGGTTGAGGGCCCTGCTCAATGAGCTTACATGCTAGAGGGAGTGGGGTAAAATGACACAAAAGGTAAGGATAGTATTAGACTAGTGACAGTTGCAGAAGAGGAATCAGTCAGGAGCTATTAACAGTTTAATTGATACGCTTTTATGAAGAAGTGGGTTTTTAACGATTTTTTGAAGGAGTGGAGACTGGGTGAGCATCTAACTGAGGAGGGAAGCGAGTTCCACAGGAATGGTGCAGCCCTTGAGAAATTTTGAAGGCGAGCATCAGAGGTGGGAGTACGGACAGAAGATAGACGTAAGTCTTCAGCAGATCGTAAGGGCCTAGACGGGACATACTTGTGTATAAGGGAGGATAGATAGGTGGGAGCAGCATTATGTAGAGATTTGAAAGCAAGAAACAGAATTTTAAATTGAGCTCTATATTTTATAGGAAGCCAATGTAGGGACTGACAGAAGGGTGAGGCATGGGAGGTGCGGGCAGACAGGAAGATGAGCCTCACTGCCGCATTCATTATGGACTGTAACGGCACGAGTTGGGAGCACATAAGACCACTGAGAAGCGAATTGCAGTAGTCAAGGCGAGAAAGGACAGTGGAATGGACCAACACCTTAGTCACATCTGGCGTTAAGTAGGGGCGGATGCACGCAATGTTTCTGAGATGGAAATGACAGGATTTGGCGATAGATTGAACATGAGGCTTGAAGGAGAGGTCAGAGTCAAAGAGAACACCTAGGCAGCGAGCCTACGTGGTGGAGCTAATGGTAGCACCGTTGACTTGGAGGGAGGAAAGACCAGAATTTCAGTTTTGGTCAAGTTTAATTTAAGGAAGCAGAGAGGCAGTCAGAGACACTAGTCAAGAGGGACAGGGAGAGATCAGGAGAGGACAGGTAGATTTGCGTGATAGAAATTATATTGGAAACCAAAGGAGCTAATGAGTTTACCAAGGGAGGCAGTATAGATGGAGAACAGTAGGGGACCAAGGACTGAACCTTGGGGGACACCGACAGAGAGGAGTTGGGGAGAAGAAGCAGAGCCAGAGAAAGAAACACCGAAAGAGCGCTGGGAGAGGTAGGAGTAGCACCAGGAGAGAGCAATATCTTGTAGACCGATATTGTGGAGGATGAGAAGAAGCTGTTGATGATCAACAGTGTCAAAAGCCGCAGACAGGTCAAGGAGAATTAGGATAGAGTAGTGACCATAAGATTTTGCAGCGAGTAGATCATTGGATACTTTGGTCAGTGCTGTTTCCACAGAGTGCTTAGCCTGGAAACCAGACTGAAGCAGGTATAGCAGAGAGTTGGACTCGAGGAAGTCTGTCAATCTCGCATACACAATTTTTTCAAGGATCTTGGATGCAAAAGGCAGTAGCGAGATAGGACGATAGTTGGATGGGGAGTTAGGGTCAAGATTGGGATTCTTAAGAATTAAGGTTATAGTTGCATGTTTGAAGGGCAATGGAAATATACCAGAGGAGAGAGAGAGATTGAAAATTTGTGTGTGTGCATGTGTGTGTGTGTCTGTCTGTGATTGTCTGTGTGACTGTCTGTGACTGTGTGTGAGTGTGTGTGTTTGTGTTTGTGACTGTCTTCCTGTGACTGTCTTTGTGACTGTGTGTGACTGTGTCTGTGATTGTGTGTGTGTGTGTGTGTGTGTGTGTGTGACTGTCTGTGATTGTGTGTGTGTGTGACTGTCTTCCTGTGATTGTCTGTGTGACTGTCTGCCTGTGATTGTCTGTGTGACTGTCTGTGATTGTGTGTATGTGTCACTATCTGCCTGTGTGACTGTCTACCTG